GTGCCTCTGACCTTGAGTGCTGGCACTTTCTTCTTTACACTCTGCAGTCTCCACCTGAGTCTCTGGCTTTCTCCTCTACCACCGTTTTGTCCGCTCTTCCCTGTTGTCTGCAAATGTATCTCCCAACATTCTTTTCATCCCTTGGACAAAGTCACTACATTGAGGAGTTTCTAGGGAACCTAAACAATAACGATCTCCAGTTCTTTCCTTTTGCAAAGCAGAAAATGTGGGCATATGAGGCATTTAAATTCACCTGTGGTTACACAGGAATGGAGATGGTCAGCCCAAGGCTAACAGAAGGTCCTCAAACACTGAGCCAAGGTATCATGTGCCAGGTGCCTTCCAGCCAAGGGGAAGGATCTCTACTGACCTTTTCATTTTTTTAATGTCTTATTCGTCATGATTTAGAGAAGCTCTTAGTATTCACTGGTTCCCATAGATGCCCCTTACTTCTTAACTTCCAGGGGTTCCAGGAGTACCATATGTATCTAAGCTGGAGTTCTTTATAAAGTGAGATTAATCCAGAGCCCAGGCTTAATGTCTCACTTGTGCCCTCCTGAGTCAGCAAGCAAAAAACAATAATAATCAATTCCACTCACTTATTTTGTCCCATTAGTCAATATGGAATGAAAAGAAGACCATGATGGATTTGACATGACCAAAATAAAATGTGTGATGCCCTTAAACACTCTAAAATGAGCATCGTGCTTCATTTTGTATTTTGACACACTATATTTTTGCTAATAATTTCTAAACCCTGATGGGGGAGAGGGAAACACCATCACACATTCTTGTTATCATTTCTATAAATACCCAGATTTATTATAAGAGACTTTCTGGTTTGATCAAGTCCAAGAGAAGGATTATTTGGACACAGGCCCAACCTTCACATCTCTTCCAGTCTCCTCCCTCAGGGTGGGCACTGTCACTGCCTTAACCACTGTGTGAGTGGACAAACTATTTATTTAGCTGGACATAATGCTGAACTCCAGAGCAACAGAGAAGAAGTGGGACCGATATGTGTGCTTTACGAACATAAACCAAGTCAAACAAGTCAATCAGAAAGACGGGGAAAGTAGAGGGGTTAATATAAATGAAAAGAAACAGCATGCAGGCTCAGAAATAAAGAGATCAGTAAGGTGGTGGCTAACAAAACCAGAAGTAGTAACAATAGCTCTAGAGAGCACATGGGAGATTAAAGGGTCTGGAGTAAAGCAAGACTAATAGGAGACTCATTGAACATCTCCCATAGTATCCAAGGAGGAAGGTCATGGTCAATTTGGAAGCCCACATACGGAATTTGGAGAAATTATGAAAAGGTATGAGTCCTAGCTCTGCTTCTGCTGGAATCTAGCACCATCTTCTAGGCCAACACTAAAAACCCATTGCTGTTACATCCATTCTGACTCCTGGTGACTCCAAAGAACATCAGAGTAGAACTGCACACACGGGGTTCTCCGGGGATGATTGTTCTTAAGGAGATCACCAGGCTTTCATTTTGAAGAGCTTCTGGTCAGACTCAAACCACTAACCTTTTAGTTAGCAGTTGAGCATGCAATCGCTTAAACCACCCAGGAACTCCCTAAGTGATGGCGATTCCAAGAACACCAAGGGTTTCATCTTTCTTCTTTAAAAGAATAAATAACTTGATTCCAAGAACTGCTAACATCTAATATGTTGAGTCTCTACTATTGATAAAGCAGGCACTAGTAGCAATTTTTCCCTTGCACAGAAAGGATTATGATTATGTAGTAAACTTTTATGGAATGCAGCTTGCTATCACAACAAATGCTCAGGCTGAGAGCTTTTAAGTAGATTAGGCAGATCTGGGTTCAAATCTTTATGTCTTACTGCTTTAATGTCCTTACCACTGGACTAACAGGCAACATCATGATAGATGGAGAAAAGATTGAAACTATCAACAACTTCATTTTATTTGGATCCACAATTAACACTCTTAGTCCCAGCAATGAGGAAATCAGGAGACATATTGCACTGGAGAAATCTGCAGTTAGGGACCTCTCCAAACTGCTGAGGAATAATAATGTCATTTTGAGGACTCAGGTGCATCTGATTCAGGCCATGATCTTTCCAATCACTTACTATGCATTTGAGAGCTGTATAATGAAAAAGAATGACAAAAGAATTGATGCCTTTGAGATGTGTTGGAGAAGAGAACTGAATAGTTCATGGACTGCCAAAAGAACAAAGAAATAAGTCTTGGAGAGGGTGCATCTAGAGTGCTCTTTGGATGCAAAGATAATGAGGCTTCACCTCACATACTTCAGGCATGTTGCTAGAAAGGGGCTATTCCTTGGAAAGGAAAATGATACTAAGAAAGCTAGAGGGTTGGCGAAGGAAAGGAAGACCTTCAACCAGGTGGATTGATTGACAAGGTGGCTGCTGCAATGGGTTCTAGCATGACAGGAAGTGTTAGAATGGCACAGGATAGAATAGGGTCAGATCTGTTGTTCATAGGGTTGGTATAGGTCAGACTCTACATGACAGCACCTAACAACAACAACAACAGCAGCAACAACTTTTAGGTCTTTGGACAAAACTATCTTATCTATATAAGACTCAGCTTCCATCTTTGTAAAGTAATGACACCACCACATGCCTTTTAGGGTTGTTAGGGAGTCCTGGTGGCAGAGCCTTGAGGAGGTTGCTCTGTTAGTCTTGCCTCTCCAATTGGTCAGCTCTGCAGGACAATGACAGACAATCTCTGCATGCAATTTACAGCCTCCAAAAACTTGCTGGGAGGCCAGCTCTGAGGTGGTTCCAACGTAACAGAAATGAGCCACGGGGAGTTTGGTATCAGCTATGATTACAGGTTCTCAGAGTTTTTACATTCTCCTTGTTTCCTTCTTCAAAATCGTTTCTGGTTCAAGAAACTCCTGCTTGATAAACTGATCATAATGCTGCTGCTGTTGCGGCTGCTGCTGCTGGTAGTAAGGGTGATGGTGGTGATGGTGATGGTGATGGTGGTGGTGGTGGTGGTGATGGTGGTGGTGATGATGGTGATGGTGGTGATGGTGGTGGTGATGATGGTGAT